TGTCTGCAGGCTCTACATCCACAGATTTGACCAAGCTTGGGTCAGTAAACATTTACAGGAACTATAGCATCTGTGGTGAATCTGTGCAGATTTCTTTTTTTCTTGTCAGTACAACAACTGCTTCCATAGAATTTACATTGTGTTCGGTATTGTCTGCCATGTTGAGATGATTTGAAATACACAAGAGGCAGTGTGGAGGCTGCATGCCAATGTCTGCCATTTTATACACAAGATTTGAGCATGCCCAGGTTTGGGTGTCTTTGGTGGGGGTTTTAGAACCAATACCACTTGGATACACAGACATACACACAGACACAGACACACAGACACACAGACACAGACACACAGACACACAGACACAGACACACAGACACACAGACACACACACACTTCAACTATCTCCCTTTGTAGCCCAGGCTGTGCTTGAATTTGCAATCCCCCTGATCACAAGTATACATCACTAAATGTTAAACTGACTGTGACATTTCCTTGTGGCTTCATCAGGGTGGGAGGAGGAAGCAGTGCCCATGATCTGCCTTCAAGCCTTCCAGTGAGGCTCACCACACGAGGCTTGAAGGCAGCTGTGTAACTCGTCCAGTGGGTTCTCCCCAGTTGGGGCCTGTCTCTAGGTTAGAAAGCCCGTGGATCAGTTAGAGGCAAATGTACTCTTAGGAAGAGGAACTTGTTTTCCCAAACCACGAATGGCCGAGAGTTGAGATCCTGATCCTAGCTGTGCCTCCCTCCCATACTCCACAGGCTTTGGTGTTTACCTTTCTTCTTTTCCTTGGTTTTGTTTTTAGATACGTAATTTATTTTGAGTAACAACCAAACACACGCTCAGATGCAGACAGATCCATAGAGACACACAGAGAACTATATACACATTCCAGACTACAACCCAACAAAGTGTTGCTCAACTCAAGAGAGCTAGCCCATCAATTTATTGGGAAATAACAGGTTGTTCTGCTATTTTAATTGCTGGAATAAAAAATTCAGCCTACTTAGGCATCACACCCATCTGACAAATTTGGGTCAGTTTAGGGCCTGTGGAGATGGATGGAAAGGCACAACATGGGGCTAGCACGGGCTGATTTGGAGGGAAAGGTCAAAGGTGGGGCCGGGCAGAGATGGACAGGAGGGGACGTTAGCGGCAGTGTCACAGGCTTGTAGAGGTGGGAGGAAGCTGAGGTGCGGCCAGCCTGTGGCTATGCCCTGAGGGGTGGTGGGGCAGCTGCTGGTCGATAACATCTTGTGGGGAAGAGATCAACTTGACCCCCTCCCCATTTAATAAATAGAGATGCTGGTGTCCTGAGGGTTAACAGACTTGCCATGTACCACTGAACACACATGTAGGTGGGGAAAGGCCATCGTTCAGACATGTGATTCCCTAGTCAGTCTTACTGTTTCAACATGGTAATGTAGAAGAGCCTTCTAGGGCTCAGCAGCCAAACTCTACAATGGAGCAGGAGTGAGGCAGTGTGAGCATCCGGAGGTATTCCTGGGTCAGAGCACCCCTCCATCAGCTACCTTCCCAGGCTGGCTTGGGGCTCTGTCCTGCCTGCCCCAACTCGTGCTCAGGTCCTGCCAGCTTGCTCACAGCCCTGCGTCTCAGTGGGTCAGCAGATTCTCCACTGAGAAGCTTCTGTCAGCTGTGTAGGTGACATGTTCTAACCTCTTTATGCCTCGGCATTGGGAAACCTCATAGGGCGGAGGTCCGCCCTGGGCAACTCGAGCTTCTATTTTGATCCAGGCCACCTGTGTCAACAGCCTGGCCCATGAAGTCCCGAGCTCGAGTCTTATTTTATTTAACTGAAACATCCTTAAGGCTCCTATCATTTCTCCCCTGTAATCTATTTACACCCAGCCCCTAGCTAGCACCTCTGTTCCTAGTTGGCTTATTTTTTTTTAAAGATTTAGTTTTACTTCTCATGTGTATTCTGCTTGCAGGAATGTATGTGTACCACACACCTGCCTGGTGCCTTCAGAGGCCAGAAGAGAGTGTCAGATCCCCTAGAACTAGAGTTATAGATGGTTGCTAGCCACCATGGGGGTGTAGAGAATAGAACCCAGGTCCTCTGTAAGAGTAGCAAGTGTCCTGAACCACAGAGCAATCTGTCCAGCCTATCAGTTATTTTTGATGTTTACCAAACTGTAGACCTGAGTGTGTAAGGTGCTCAGAGACACTATAGGCTCAGCTACAGGAATCCTTTGCAGACTGTCACCTAGCTATGAAGGCAGAGGCAGGAACCTGGAGCTCCTGACTGCTTTGAAGACCTGGCATTTAGAAGGCTTTGCATTTATCACTATTGTTTGGCTTGGGTACCTGCATGTGTGGCTTGCTAACATTGCAGGTTGACAGGGAGATGCCTACCCTCAGCTCTCAAAAGCCTGGTGTGCATCCTCTGGGCTTTGGCTTCATCTTCCTCACCTTCATAGGGCACATGGGTCAGTCCCTGCTGTCCACTCTCCTGCCCAGGACATCCAGAGAAGACAGGACATCACCAAAACATGCCAATAAACAGAGAATGAAATTCTAGTCCCTTAATGGTTCGCAGAGCCCTTGGGAGATGCCAAGGCTGAGAGGTCAGTGAAGGGACCAGCGGAGCTGGAGACAGACAGGCTTGGCCTTTTCTCTCCACTGATAGCACCTTTTCCCTTCCCTGGAAATGATATAGGGAAGGAGGCTTGCTGAAGACCAGCCTTCTCTTATGAAGGACACTCATCTCTTGTAGGCCATAGGATTTTCTACAAAGAGCTTGAGTTCTGAAAATTAGTCAAGGAAAACAAAGACAACTCAAACCAGCCAAACCTAAAATGGAAATGTACTGGCTATGATTTGTAAAAATGAAGGTAGCTGGGTACCAGGCAAAGCCGTTTCAAGGACTCCAAAGATGTCATTAGATGTGATTGTCCATCTCCACTTCTCTCCATCAATATGTGTGAGTCATGGCCAAGCTCACTGCACATTTAAATCGATCACTCTGAAGTTAAGGGGATTCCGTGTTCTCTAGGAAATCACGGTCTGTTCTGTTGGGTCACATTCTCATTCATCAGCCGATGCAGTAAAGGAATGAACCACTGTGACAGCATGCTTTCAGGCACATGCCGATGCTGTGTGGTACTCTCATTGTGGAGGGTAGAAAGTCCTCAAAGGAATGAGACACTGCTATCATAAAATAAGAGAGAGGTTGGGAAGATGGTTCAGTGGGAAAGCATTTGCCACTCAAGCATGAGGATCTGAGTTCAAAACCCCAGAAACCACATAAAGCCAGGAGTGGCAGCCCCTATCTGCACTCCTGGGATGCAAAAATAACAGATGGGAAGCAGAGACAAGAGGGTCCCAGAAGCTTGCGGACCAGCTAGCCTGGCACATACAGCAGTTCACAGCAAGAGCCCCTGTCTCAAACAGGGTGGAGGGCAAGGACCAACACCCAAGGCTGTCCTCTGACCTCCACATGGGTACCATGGTACATGTACACTTGCACTCACACACATGAACGTGCATACATATGCGCATCACACACACACACACACACACACACACACGTGTGCAAAGATAAAAGAGAAGGGTTCCAAAGCAAGAACGGTGGTTTAGTGAGGTGGTTCAGCCATAAAGGCTCTTACTGCTAAGCCTGACAACCTGAGTTCAGTCCCCAGGACCCAGCTGGACAGATGGCTCAACAGTTAAAAGCACCAACTGCTCTTGCAGAGGGCCTGGATTCGGTTCCCAGCACCCACATGGCAGCTGACAACTGTCTCTAACTCCAGTTCCAAGAAATCTGATTATGGTGCGCGCGGTCCCACGGGGATCGGTCCCCTGGTCTCAGTCGTGTGCCTTGGAGGAAGGTGGGTCTGGCTCTGTGGGCTTCTCCGTGTCTCTGCTGCTTCCGTGGCTCTCTGCTGCTGGAGCGTTGTCCAGCTGTGTACCGCCCTAATTTCACCCGTGTACTTTCCTCAAGATGCAGGGTCCACTGGCCACTAGACCATGCGGGAAAGTACGAGGGCAGCTAAAGCTAAGGCTCTGCGAGTCGGTGACGGAGGAATGCTGCCTCCGGAGAGGCTGGATCGCTGGTAGTAAGACGCAGGACTCTGCTTAGTCTGTTTTACAGCTTTGTTAGTGTTCAGCTCCTAGTGATCCAGCTCTCTGTGATCCAGCTCTCTATCATTGAGAGAAGACTGGGATATTTATACCATGGGGGTAGTGGTAAAAGCTTTGGCTGATAGATACTTTGTGAGACATTCTATTTGCATATGGAAGTGGGTTTCTGCCATGCTGCCAGACCGCTGACTACCTGAAAAATCACACAGGAAAGCATGGTATTCCTAGAGCCAGAGGCCATGTTTGTGTTAGGGTATTTGTGGTGGGCACTTCAAAAGGAGAGTTAGGAAGATGCCAGGTACTCTGCTGAAAGGAGTCATCTGCATATGAAAACCGAGCCCGTGGGCCACCTGGACATGGAGAGACTACGACTTCACAGCAGGGGTCCCCAACATCTGATGCCCTCTCCTGACTTCTGCAGGCATTGCATGCTGTGGTGCGCCTACATACATGCAGGGAGAACACTCATACACATTAAAAAAGTTTTTTTAAAGATGCCTTCAATCTGCATGACCCACATGGTAGAAGGAGAGAACCAACTCCTGCAAGTTATCCTCTGACCTCCACAGACATGCTGTAGTATGCATGCCTGCATTCGTCACACACACAAATAATAAATAAATAAGTAAATAAATAAATAAATACATATTGTAAACAATCTTTTTTAAAAAGCCAGAAAGGTGTTCTACGCTCAGGCCTCGCACTTAGGACATGGAAGCAATTATTGCTAGCCCCAGGGCAATGACAAAGCTTAGCGGCTCTCAAGGATGGCAACATGGTGTTCAGGGCTCACCGGCCACTGCTGTCTTCCACCTGGTCTGCTAGTGTTTATAAGATGGATTAGCAGACTTCTCTTGTTCTCTTCTGCTAACCTCAGATCTATTGCTCCACAGGACAATCTCAAAGGACAATGAACCTCACGCTGGGCCTGGGCCTGTTTCTGGCAGGTCTAGTCACTGGGGAAGCTCTCGTGCGGGCTGGAGCCTCTCCAAACAGGCATGGGACTCAGAGCAAGGTCCAAGAGTGGAGGGGCAAGAGGGACGCCCGGAAGCTGGCTCTGCACAACATGCAGTTTGCCTTCAAGCTGCTCCAGAAGTTGGCCGCCAAAAGCCCTGTGCAGAACATCTTCTTTTCCCCACTGAGCATCTCCACGGCCTTCTCCATGCTGTCTCTGGGGGCCCAGAACTCCACGCTGGCAGAAATCAAGAAGGGCTTCAACTTCCAGGAGATGTCAGATGAGGACATACACTTGGGTTTCCATTACCTCCTCCACAAGCTCAACCGTGAGACAAAGGATGTGAAGATGAACCTGGGTAATGCCTTGTTCATCGACCAGAAGCTACAGCCCCAGGAGAGGTTCCTGAGACTGGCCAAGAATGTGTATAATGCTGACATGGTTCCCACCCGCTTCCAGAACTTGGAAAACAGTCAGAGGCAGATCAACAACTATATCAGTCAGAAAACCCATGGGAGGATCACCAACCTGATCAGGAATATAGACCCGGGCACTGTGATGATTCTTGCAAACTATGCTTACTTTCGAGGTAAGGCTTGGGGCATTCTGGCATGGAGAAGGTAGAGCGACTTGGGTCAGACATTTGACCTGGTCCTTGCTTGTTCTGTGAGCCTGAATCGCTATGTAAGTAACTTCCCAAAACTCTGCCTTTCCTGGCTCTGAAACTAATACCATGATATACAGCCTGTCAAGTAGTCAGTGGGATTCAAAGTGGAAGTGAGTTTTGCAAGAGTCTTAATGAGACCCCATATGTATGTTAGTGAACTTCTAATCATGACTGGTTGTCTTCATATACCTTTTGTTTTGCTTTGGATTTGAGAGAGGGTCTTTATCTGGAACTCACTATATGAGATTGGCCTCAAACTAACAAGAGATCTGCCTGCCTCTTCCTCCAAAGTGCTGGGAATGAAGGCATGCCCTATCACGTCTGGCACATCCTTACACACTTTGGTTGTAGAATTGGAGACTTTGTTTCTTACATGAGAAAAGTGAAAATCAGAAACTGTCTCAAAAATAGAGAGAGAGAGAGAGAGAGAGAGAGAGAGAGAGAGAGAGAGAGAGATTATTTATTATTTATTCCAATGAGACTGGGGACTGGAAGTCACTTCTCTGGGGCCTGGTGCTGTGTACTTTCCTCCACCCCAGAGTAGATACCCAGAGAGATGGTGTGATGATGATGACTACCACTTTGATTGGTGCCTTCATCTCCTTATCAGGCTTCACAGATTCCCTAAGTCTAAGAAAGAGACTATGGAAAAATGTTCTCTAACCTCTGCATTCACACACCACACACATGCACAGGGTTTGGCAAATAATAAAGAAAGAAAATCAGAAGCCAGCGCCCCTCAGTCCAGGCAAGATCATCACTTGGCTCAGTAACATGGTTCTGAATATGGAATCCAGATCCCCCAAATTCCATAGGGAGACTGATGGCCAGTGAGGACAAGGAAAGTGTCAGTGACAGCTGAAACCATGGTCTCCTGAACCAGAGATGCGTAAAAAGGAGTCTGGGATATCTCAAAGTCCTCGTGTTCCCTGTTCACATTCAGAGCTGTGGCAACACAGCCACACAACACTTATGACACACAGCCACTGAGCTCTGCTGCCTCACCCGCAAGCAGCTTACCTGTTGGTACCCTCAGTCTATAGAAGAAGGATGCTGAAGCCCTGGGAGGTCGAGACACTTGCTCAAGGCTGTCCTTTTACATCAGTGAAGCCAGATTGGTCCTCAAGGCCTTAAACTGTGCTGTTGAGAATAACAGGTTTGAAAAGATACAACTGCGAGTTTATGTGCAATATGGTCTTGGGTGAAAAAAGGGATCCTGGGACTGCGGAGATGGCTCAGCTGGTAAAACGCCTTCTGCGCAAGCATGAAGATTTGAGTTCGGATTCCTAGCATTAAGATGAAAATCTAGGTGTGGTGTCATGATGATCCTAGTAGTTGGGGTGAGGGAACTCACTGGCCAGCCATCTAGTCAGTTGGTGAGGTCTGGCCTCAGTGAGAGTCCTGTCTTGAAAAATAAGGTGGGGAGAAATAGAGGAGAACACATGACACTGACCTCTGGCTTCTACATGCATGTACACACACACACACACACACACACACACACTACACATACATACACACAAATAAAGTAGCAACAAATAGATACATAAAAAAGAAGGAAATAGACACTCAGTGCTTTGCAGCCAGCTCCCAAACACAGATTGTTCCAGAGGAGGGTCCCTTCCTGCTCTGCCGTAAGAGTGCCTTCGGGGGCTGAGTCAAGCATTTTCACCAAACGCCCTCAGGAACTGCAAACCAGCCAGCTGTTAAGATATAAACTGTGCTCAGCCTTAGGGATACCTGGCCTTAGGACAGTCTACTGCTCCCCTCACAGTCTAGCAACTCTAGCCCTAGTTTCTTTAAAATGTAATCACTGGTCTAACCTACCTCACAGAAATCTTCCAAGTGTGGAGGAAAGGCAAGGATTTCAAGTCCTGCCCCCACATCCAAGAATACCCAGTCTCGTCACTCTGAATCCACATGAACAGTAGCTGGGGATCTGATGGGTCTGGTTCCTTCCTTTCCCTCTGGACACTCATGCCAATTTGTCACCCTTCAATCCTAAGCCAGGTGGCAGTATGAATTTGATCCCAATGAAACAAAAGAGGAAGATTTCTTCGTGGAAAAAGGCAAGACCGTGAAGGTGCCCATGATGTTCCACAGAGGCATGTACGACATGGCCTATGACAGCCAGCTCTCCTGCACCATCCTGGAAATGCCCTACCTTGGAAACATCACAGCCACCTTTGTCCTTCCTGACAACGGCAAACTGCAGCTTCTAGAGCAGGGATTGCAGGCCGACATCTTCGCCAAATGGAAAAGCTTCCTGTCGAAAAGGTAAAGAGGGAATGGGGCCACCGGCCTGCCTCCTTCTCCCCCACCCTCCCTCCCTCTTTATGCCTTCCATTCTCAGTACCTAGCCCGGCCCTCTTGATGAATTTCAGCCACTAGACCGTGAACAAATACAAGAAGTGGTAAGACACTGGCTCTTTGGGTTGACTGAAGGGCCTGTGTGAGGGTGAGGGGCGAAGTCTTGCTGCAGGGTAGTGGTCAGGGAGAACGTCACAAAGGAGGTGGCATTTAAGGTACAACTTCAAGGCTGTAGGGAAGGGAGAGGAACAATGGAGTCCTAAGCAAAGAGAACTACAAGGATGGACCCTTGAGGTGTCAAAGGGAACTGTGAGTTGTTCATCAGTTGTAGAATGATGGTTTCAGTGGTGGCACCACACCAAAACCAGTCAAGTGTGTCCTGTGTGTGTTATACTAATAATTAAAGGGCTAAGGTGATTACATAGTTTTCTTTTAAAACACAACACTAGACTAGATTTCAAGCATACTCTCAGAGTCACTCTACCACTGATGGATCTTCTTGGGAAGGCAAAGGCTGGTGTCAGCATGAAGTCCTGGGCACTGGTACCAGTGTAGATGTGCCTGGTACCTTGACAGTAGCTGGAGCAAGGGGAGCAGTGTGGGATGAAGACAGAGGGTTGGTTCCGCCATGACTCCACCCCCTTCCATCTTAGCCTCACCATCGCTCTCTAGCCATCTCTATTAAGGTCTTCGCTGAGAACCTTCATCATTCTGAAGGTTCTAGCATATTGATCTCTGCCACTGTCCAAGGCAGCACCCAGAAGTAGAGGCAGAGCTCGGACTAGACTGGGCCCCCGTGAGTTGCAGCTGACCTGAGGTGGCTCCTGCCCCTTGGAAAGGATTTGAAGGAACTGCAGACCCAGCTGTTCTCTCTAGAGTGGGCTGAAGGCTCATGGAGGAGTGGGGGGTTGTAGTTTTGAGGACCCAGCTGCAGTTGGGGTAGATGGGGTATAAATGGTGGCAGGGCACCCCAAGAGAGCTGCTAACCCTGGATCTACATGCAGCCCCCATCCTCCATGCCGTAGGATCCGGAGGTTCCCGCTCTGATGCAGGCCCCAACATCCAGAGACTGCAATTTTTGTCTGTTACTTACCATAATGGTGACCTTAGAGAAACCTTGAAAGAATTACGTGGGGTATCAAAGTATGGTCCTACAGAGGACTCACACAAACATCTCTTCTTGTCTCCTTCTGAGTGGCTGAAGAGATATGCTCCAGGTTCTCAGCAGCCCTATGAAAGCTCAGATTTACTGGACAAGGGTGTCCTTCAGATCCGCTCTTGTCTTAGTCCAACAAGACACAAGGGCACAGGCTTCTGTAAACATGGTGTTCCCCAAATGGCCCGGCAGTTTTCAGCCCATGCTTACAGCTGTAGGGTTCACAGATATGATGGGGCTGTCACCTCTCTGGCTTTAGGACAGGCCTCTCCTCCTCCCTGACTCCTCCTCCCTGAGGAGGGTAGGCCCCTGGAGGTTCCGTACAGACCACCACCAGTCTTGCTGAACATTAGGGCGTGTAGGATCCAGGAGTGACTTAGGGTGCATTAGAAGTAGATTTGGGTAAAATTCAACTACAAACTGCTCTTGAGGTCTTTTCTGGCCACCCCCTCTCTCACCTCGTTTGCTTCCCTCCTGAGTTTGCTCCCAGCACCTCCAGATCTGGAGGCCACACTCCCTTCAGGAGGACCATAGACAGAGGGAACCCTTTTAACATAGATGCATCCTGCCCACACCCCTTCTAGGCCTAGAGTGACCCACAGCAGTAAAGTCACCTCCTCGATGGGAGACTCCCATCTCCCTTCAGGGTAGTGGATTGCCCATGATCACCAAGGGGAGACTCTCATTTCATCAGAACACACACAAGGGGCCAGTGTCCCTACTTTTGAAGCTCATTCAGGGCTGACAGGTTGCTTTGAAGTACAGGCAGGGAGCCCAGCCCAACCTGAGTTAGCTTCCTTTATTGAATTGAGGAAGAGGAGGAGGAGGAAGAAGAACTGTTTTATCTGCAACCCCTGTCCTGGAAGGCCTGGGAGAGGCTGAAGGGCTACACTCTTTTCCAAGAGAAGGAACCACATCTACAGACACACTTAATGACATACCCCTGACTTTCAAGTGCGTAGAACTTGTCAGAATTCAGGCACCAGGTTCCTTCAGCCCGGCTTGTGCATAGCAGGAAGATCCCCACTTGGTTCTCACATTATCTCAAGCCTGTTGCTTAGGGTTCCAGAGTAAAAGTAAAAATCTCAGTTTTTCCCCAGAGGAAACTGAAAGTTCCCTTTCAGGAGACATAAAGCTACTGGGGCTTTGAAGTAGCCACCTTCCCATCAATCAGGTTCAAGGGCCCACTAGCCACCTCAGCTCCCTGTCTCCCTGTGGATTAGAGACAGATCCATCTTTCAGCAGCAGCCAGAGTTTTCTTTGGCTGTTTTTTCTAAGTTTAAACTATCACTCATAAATTCTACATATAAAGTGAATTATGCTAGAGATGGATTTTTTAAAAAAGTGGTCTAAAATAATGCTTCTCTGTGTTTTAATTTTTAAATCTCATTCAAAACTTTTAAGATGTTAAAAATTAACATACAAGATGATGGTTTCACAGTGACGTTCTCATGCATACGTATATCACTGTATTTTGGCTCAGATTTGTTCCCTGACCGCCTCCATTTGGGCCCTGCCCCCACCATGATGGTCCCTTTCCTCTTTTTGAGTCTAACTCACTTTACTTGACACAATCTATCGTTGCATTCATTTTCCTGAAAAATGCCTTAATTTCATTTTTCATATAGTCGAGTAAAACTCTCTCTCTCTGTCACCCTTTCTCTCCATCCTTCTCTCTCTCTCTCTATATATATATATATATATAGAGATAATTACATATATATATATATATGCCACATTTTCTTTGTCTGCTCATCCGTTACTGTGCCTTGTGTTTTCTGCCTCCTCACGGGCAAGCACAAAAGCTGCCTCTACCTTTGCACATGCATGATATGTCCTCTCTACTCTGGAATATCGCCCAGAACTTTGTTCCTTGCTTCCTGACATCAGCCTATGTTTCTTATGCTCACTGCCGAGCCATCGCCCGCAGATAGCAGGATGCTGTTACTCATCTCATCCTTCCAGCTCACAGGGGCTGGGGATAACTGGCATCATATAGCATTGCTTTTTCTGCCAGGCACATGAAGCAGGTGTGTGCCCTCTCTGCAGGCGGGCCTGCCCCTGCGCTGACCTGCAGGGAACCCTGGATGCTATTATACTTCCCAGCATAAAGCCTCCTCTCCACCTCCAGGGCTCCTCCGGACTCTACTGCTCACCACTCTGTTTCATTGATCCCCTTTGCTGGTGAGCACCCCGAAGCAGGCATCTCTATTCCCTGCCCTGCTTCCTACCCCTCCTAAAACTGTTTGCACCCTCCTCTCAATAGATACCAAGGTGACCAAGGCTGCCATGTTGCAGAATCCAGGGTTGGTGTCCAGCTGCCCCTTCCCCACTGGCCAGCCATCACACCCCCTCCTTCCAGGGTATCCTTACCTGCCACAGCTCTGCCGGCAGGTGGCTCTCCTTTGATGGCTCCCCTCCCTATAGGCCCCAGTCCTGGCTCCTATTCTAAATTTACCCCTAGTGAGTGTCACAGGCACAGAGTTTTCAACACCTGGTCTACCACAATGTTGTTCTGTGCTTAGCCTCAGTGCCTCCTCGGACACTCTAGAGTCCTTCTCCTGTTGACTTACTCAGGATCTCCCCTACGTGTCTAATGGGAGTTTCATCTCCACTTATCCACAAGGGTCGCCTGGCCTCCTACAGAACCTTCTCTCCTTGTGCCTGCCTGTCTCAGTCTCTGGCAACTCCACCCTCTGTTTACTACAGCTTTATGTCTTGGTCGTCCTTGATCACTCTCTTCACACTTCTCCTGCACTGTGTTAGGATGCTCCATTAGACCTACTTTAAGACAAGTTTGGACTCAGCCTCTTCCCACCAGCTCTGGAGCGCCCATTCAAACTGCCAGTTGATGGTCTGACACCCAGCACCAACACTCTTCCCCGGTACTGAACATCAAGGGTATATTCCAAGCACAGCAGGCAGAGCCAATCTTTCCAATCTGAGTCAAGACCATGATATTCCTCTGTTCAAAACCAGACCATGGCTTCCACCTTCCTTGCCTCCCTCCAAGGTTGGCTCAAACCTGTTATTTGGCTGCCAGCACTCCTGATTCCCAGAACTTGACCTATGTTTCCTCGGTCTCCTTCATACCTGCTTCTGTACACGCTGCCAGTGTTTGTGGATTTGCCCACACTGTGCTCTTTCTAGCGCTGGTCTGTCTTCCTGCTGGAGCACAGGGCACGGGCAAGAGCTTTGCCTAGTCTGTATATCAGGTATACAGTAGATGCTTAAAAACTATTTGTTGAGAGCCAAAGAGACTGCTCAGTGGTTAAGGGCACTGGCTGTTCTTGCAGATGACCTGGGATCAATTCCCAGCACCCACATGACAGCTAACAACTATCTGTAACTGCAGTTCCAGGGGATCTGACACCCTCTCCTCACCTCCACTGACATTGCACAACATGGGTGCATTTACTCCATTCAGACAATACACTCACACATATAAAATAAAAATAATAAAATATTAAAAAAAGAAGAAACCCTAATTGTTGAGGAGCGATGGCTCAGCAGTTAAGAATTCTAGATGCTTTTGCAGAGGACATGGATTCAGTTCCCAGCACTCACATAAAAGCTAACCACCATCACAACTCTAGTACCAGAGGATCCAACACCCTCTTCTGGCTTTCATGGGCATTGCACGACATGTGCACTTACATACATGAAGGCAAAATACTCATACACATAAAATAAAAATAACTTATAAAAAAATTTAAAAGCAGTTAAATGAGTCAAAAGGTAATTTGGGGGAGTTTTCAGGCCTATGGGTAATATTTCAAGGCATAAGATTGGGACTTCTTGAGCAAGCAGGAAGTGATGATGAAGGGGTTCAGGTCTGTGGGCACAGTGACTGTGTCCTTTTCCTGTGCATGGCACAAGACTAGTATCTTTTGCCCCAACGTGGACTTGAACCCAGTTCTGCCTGGCTCCAGGTTTCAGGACCTGCTGATTCTTCAGGATTCTTTCAGGACCTGCTGATTCCACCAGACTTGCAGGGTTTCATCTTGTCTCAGGTACAGGACAGCCAGGTCTGCGGTGAGGAGATTGTGAACATGCAGAAGGGAGCTGGAAAATATTTCTGGCAGATGAGTGCTCTGGACAGGCTGAGCAAAGAATAGGATGGAGTTCAGAGTCTGCAGTGTCCTGAGTCCTGGGTTCCAGAGTTAAGCCTTTCTCGTTCCACAGACAGAGAAGATCTGTGAGCCTGGGTTCGAGGAGGATAAAGGTCTCACTCACCATCTATCCCAAGACCCGCCCTTGACGATGGTAGGAGCCTCCAACTCACCCTGGTCCCTTTCTCTTCCTCAGAGTGGTAGATGTGTGGATGCCCAGGATCCACATCTCTGCTACCTACAACCTGAAAAAGGTTCTCTCCCGCTTGGGCATCAGCAAAGTGTTTGAAGAGCAGGGAGACCTCACGAGGATCTCATCTCATCGAAGCCTCAAAGTCAGTGAGGTAAGCCTGCTTGGGGGGGCACTGTCCCCCCACATAGCCTTGGCCAGAGCCACTGTCACAGTAGCCAGCCCTGTGATCCCAGGCAAACCACACAGCCTCCCTCAGCCTCTGATGTGATAGACATTGATAAAGTTCTAGAACAGTCATCAGACATGGAACTGTTCTACATCTGATCTGAACCTTCTCTCCAAAGTCTCACAGGCTTCTGAGGAGGAAGGGGTAACCATGGTGACCACAAGGGTGAGCTGGTAGAGGCAGGAAAAGGGGACCATCTCCACAAGGGTTTCAGATTTAAGATAGAAAACTTTCCATCAAAACTGAATTACTGAGCTCTAATGGGTAATTTTTTTTAGTGTGTCCTAAATATTGCATGGCGTATTCCTATTTTGAATGAAATTCGAACTGGATAGCCTGTATGTTACCTAGCAACCATGTTTTGGGGTTAAAAGGGCATAGAACGGGGGAGATTTCAGAAGGAAGATTCAGTTGGGGGACTGTCCATCTGAGGGAGGGGTGGAAGGTGGGGATTGGCTGGCACTGAATGGAGTAGAGGGATGGGCCAGGCCACTGTAGGAAGGCTCTGTCTTCTGAGCCCAGTAATGGTTACAAACCCAGTACTGTTGATGCAGGCACTGCCTTAATTCCCAAGGGGAAGAAACTTACCTCATCAGATTTTCTACTTCTTTGTGCTTCCCCTTTGAGACTTCCCCCCAAAAGCTCAGTACTAGCTCCCTGTTTTTCAGGAATCTTCACTGAGCTCAGTGCCTACTTCCTTTCTATAGTGCGGGATGCTGGCAACGTTACTCTAAAATAAGAGTCTGGACCATTCTCTGTAAGGAGAAGGTGGAACTTTTGTAGACTAGTGTCTCAGAGCTCTATTCACTTCCCATCAGTCACCTAGTCACCAAGGAGGATGTCTCAGGGAGTGCAGCCCTGCGTCTCAGTCGCCTTTAACAAGTAATCTGGAATCTGGCTTCCTCTCAACCACCTGCCAGGCTGAGCTAAGACTCCACAGCTCATTTCTGTCCCCTGAGCGTTGGTGAGACCCTGAAATTCAGGGAGGAGAGCAAGCTCTTCCCCATCTTCCCTAAGTTCCTGATCCTTCCCTGAGGCACCATATTCTTCCAACTACTGGGCCACTGTGGCAAAACTGTCTCCCTCTCTGGGCCTCTTGCCTGCGGCCTGCCGCTGCCTGGCAGCCACTGACATCTTTTGGTTCTACAGGCTGTGCACAAGGCTGAACTGAAGATGGACGAGAAGGGTACAGAGGGGGCTGCAGGCTCCGGAGCCCAGACGCTGCCCATGGAAACCCCGCAGAGGTTCAAGCTGAACAAGCCTTTCCTATTGATGATTTATGAGAATTTCATGCCTTCTATGATCTTCCTGGCAAGGATTTTTGACCCTAGTGGGAAATAAAGGTGCATTCTAGTTGGCTACTGTCCTTGCCTATTTTCTGGGGCTGGAATTTTTTCATCCACTTGACACAGAGGAGGCCACACACGCTGTCCAATCCCGTCCTGTCACCATCCCCCATGGCCACCCAAATGAGTGGCCCCGGTTGGCTCTGGAGGCTTTGGCACTCTGTGGCCACCTGTAGTCTCTTCCTTGCCCACTGGGATCCAAGATTAAATGCCACCCTCTACCTCCAGTGCCCCTCACTCCTGCTACACAAACAGACAGGGGCTTTTAGGATTTAATAAGTACGACTCCCCGACACATCTACTGGCTATTGATAGATAATTTGGGGAAGGCATGAGCCACACTAAGTAAGGAAGGCTTGGAGTGAAACGAGAATGGGGTGTTTCTACGAAAACCACATAGTCTGTCTGAACCTTTGTGTCCCTGTTCTGAAACAAGGATTGCTACCTTCCCTGGTGAGACTTTGAGAAAATCAGCACTGTGCCTCAGCAAAATGCTTTCTCCTTTGTGAGTCCCAGGCTGGGGGGGGGGGTCCCCTGGCACATGGACTACATGGTTGTCCTTCCAAGAATATCCGTGTGGGAGTGCTGACTCAGCCAGGCCACCAGGTAAACAGTGGAAGTGGTTCAGCCCCTTGGGTAGCATTAGGAAAAGGCCACCTTGGGAAGTAGCTGGGACTCACTGGCACCTTTGTCAGTTTCAGCACAAGAGGAAGATACTGGGGCTCCTCAGACCTGTGGTTAAAGGCAGGCTTTACTACTGAACCTCTTCAAAATGTCTATATGCACATTAGAAAACTGGCCAGGCAGGGGCTGTCTATGACCACTAGGGGGCCCAAGGAATTAGACCAGTGGTGTGGAGCTGGTGGATCACAAAGTGCGGCCCTTCACCTCTGGCAGTGACGGGTCCAACCTTTGCTGTATTAGGGGAGAGGGTGGGGTCTAGACCGGCTTAGCAACCAACTGGCAGGGCAGCAGTTGCCGCTCCTTGGGGGAGCAGTTTTCAGCTCACTGTGCTATTTGGGTTCTGGATACCACAGCCGGAATGAGCAACCCTATGGGATATGGAATCAAGGCTCGTGGAGGGGAGGTGCTCTCTGTGGTGTCAGAGTAAGCCACAGGCAGCAGTGCCTCTGTGTGTGGGTTTGTGCTGGGAAGGGAAAGGCCCCTGACCCTGCACTCTGTTGGTCTCTATCCCTTCTCCAGCCAGTGAGGCTCAGCAAGCACCCCTCCTCCACCCCGTGCTCTGTGAGGTGAGGTGCCTCAGAGCACAGGTCTGTGGAGGAGGCTGGGAGGGACTGGCAGGTGTGGGGTACAAGCATTGAGGACTCTGCACTGAGGACTCTCTGAGGGCTCCTCTGGGCAGGGGTGGGAGTAAGGAGAAGCCAGTGGATGAGGCTGGGATCCCCCAAGTGCTTTGCTCCTATGGTATAGTATGTCACTTATGGTGCTGGGGGTGTGGCACATCCAGAGAAACCATGGAGTGCTTTGGTGACCTGATATGGAGCCTGAGTCTCTGCATGTGCTGAAAGGAAATAATAGTAACTGGGAAAGATGGTTCAGTGATTAAGAACACTAGCTGTTCTTGCAGAAGATTTGGGTTCAAATCCCAGTACCCACATGGAGGTTAACAACCATCTGTTTCAGGGGATCTGACGCCCTCTTCTGACCTCTGTGAACTGCACGACAGATGCACTTACATACATGCAGCCAATACATAAAAATTTAAAAATGAATAAAATATTTAAAAATACTACTAATAATAGCTGCCTCCCTGGACTGACAGCTCAGAGAATCCCGTGGGATTCCAGAGTGAGAACTGGGATTACCATCCTCCACCACCTCTTCCAGCCTCTGAGATGACCAGCTGTTTCCTGAAAAGCTGTTGTCCAGATATCTACCCACACATCTCCGACTTCCCAGCATCATCCAAGAATTCTCCTCCCATCCCCCTGGAAATCACTCACTTCCACGCACAATAGTGCCTAGTGGATCTGCATGTTCCCTCCATTTCTAGGTGGGCTGCAATCTGTCCTGTGCTATGTGATGGCTCTTAAAGCTACACACTCTGAGCCGGTTGCTAAAACAAGCAGGCCTGGTTCCTGACCCCAGGGAGTCACTATCCAGTGAAGGAAACAGCCATACTCATGTCTGTGTTGTTACTCAACTGTAAGTTCATGTTCACAAGTTCTACTGACCATGATGAAGGCTGACTGGGGAGCCTGAGTTTTGTCAGGAGGACCTCAAGAAGACCTCCCAGGGATATGAAATTCAGGGACCACTCCAAATCCTGAGTCTCACCTAGTATCAGCTATAGTTACTAATTCCCATTGCAGGGATAGGGAGAGGGGGAGCTCAGTGGGACAGTGTGTGCCTAACATCTGTGAGGACTTGGGTTTCCTAGCCCATTTAAAAAGGGAAAGGAAGTTAAAACTGCATATAGGTTTGTTTCCCCAGTGTAATTAATAAGAGACAAAATATTGATTTCATGCAGAAATTGGGTATAAGGAATATTCATCATTTTAAAACTACTTTATAAATCTCTTTCATTTTTATTTTTATTTTATGTGTATGAGTGTTTTGCCTGCATGTGTGTAAGTGCACCATGTGGGTGTAGTGCCTGTGAAGGTCAGAAGAGGGCATCAAATCTCCTGGAACTGGAGTTACAGATGATTGTTTGTTACCATGTGGTTGCTGGGAACTGAAGTAGGGGCCTCTGCAATAGCAGCTAATGTTCTTAACTACTGAGCCATCTTTCCAGCCCCTAAAACTACTTTAAAAAAATGACTGTTGCTTATCTTAAATATGATTTCTTACTTTCACAACCACACCTTTACTCTTCAAAAATAAATCCTATGTTGAAAAAAATTTTTTAATATTTTATTTATTATTTTATGTGTATGAGTGTATTGCCTGCATGTGTGTGAGTGCACCCATGTCGTGCAATGCTGTGGGGAGGTCAGAAGAGGGCTTCCAATTCCCCTGGAACTGGAGTTAAGGACGGTTTATAGCCACCACGTGGGTGCTGGGAATCAAACCTGGGTCTTCTGCAAGAGGAGTCAGTGTTCTTAACCACTGAGCCATCTCTCCAGCCCCTGTTGAAAAAAAATTTAAAGGAAGAAGTAATGGCAGAAGAAGAGGGTGCTGCCCAAGCTTCAGGGGCTGCATGTGCCAAGGCCCTGAGGTGCATATAGCATAGATGAGGAACTGAAATGATATCCATGTGGCCAGAGCAAAAAAAAGAGAAAAAAAAAGACAGGAAGCGATGGGCAATGGGGCTGGAGCAGTGGGTAAGGGCTCATTTTCCAGAGGGGAATGCTGGCAAACTCATGTACTGTAAGTGGCCCTCTAGCAATAGGCTGTCTTTGTATCAGTGTCCAGGACTAGAACATGCCACCAAGTATGTGCTCAGCAGGTATTGTTGAAAAGAGACTGCCATATAGCCACCTCTTTCCAGATAGCTCCCAGTCTTTCCTGTCCTCTGGGAGGGAAGGTTGTGCTGGGCATGGCAGGTCTGTCCCCTGGGTAGGGGCCTGCCCACTTCTTCACAGGATCAGCAGTGCCATCTCCATGAAACTGCTCAAGTCATCCCACCTTGCCCAGGCTCTCCCCACAATGGCTGCCTTTCAGAACTGGACTCATCTTTCCAGGAAAAGCCAGATCCTCGTTCTTGAGGCCTTCCCAGAACACATGGCTGTGGACTGGCTGACCTCATGGATGAATAAGTGAATTCCGGGTTTGACTTGTATGTAATCAGCTCTTCCCATCTCCTCTTGAATCCTACACTACTTGAGTGTTCTCATCAATCCTCAGACCCACCAACCTTCATGGTGAAAACATTCCATGTAACTGATAAGAAGACCACATAGCTGCAAGGCCCACAGCTGGAAGATCACAAAGCTGGGACCAAATGGAAGCCCTATGAGCATTCCTACCTTTCATTTATCCATCCATCAGTCCATCTATTCACCCATCTTCCTATCCATCCATCTATTCTACTCATCCATCCATCCTTTGGTCCATCCATTCATCCCACTGACCCATCCATCTATTCATCATCTCTCCATCCATTTACCTATCCATCCATCCACCCATCCATTCATCCACCTATCCACCCACTCACCTATCCATCCAACTCCTGACCCACCCATCCATTGATCCACATTTCCGACCCACTGCCCATCCATTCATCCATTCATCTACCCATCTACTCATCCACCCACCCATACATCCATCTCACTGACCCATCCATTTATCCATTAATCATCTCTCCATCCACTTCCCCATCCATCCACCTATCCATCCAACTACCTATCAACCCACCCACCTATCAATCCAACCTCTGACCGGCCCATCCACCCACATTTCCATCCCCTACCCACCCATGTATCTACTCATCCATCTTTCCTTTTACCTATTCATCCATCTCACTGGCCCATCCATAAATTCATCATCTATCCATCCACTTAGTCATCCATCCCTTTCATCTATCCATCCATCCATCCATCCATCCATCTATCCATCCATATATTAATTTACCCACACATATATCCATTCAACCCCTGACCCACCCATTCTTCCACATTTCCATCCCACTACCCATCCATCCATCCACTAATTCATCCACCCACCAATCCATCTGTCCAGTCAGCCAGCCAGTCATCCATCCAAATGTCTAGAGACTTGTGTTATACCAGCAAACAAAGTCTACAAAGATCATCACACTCATGAAGGTTTTAGACTAGTAGAGAGGCAGGTAATAAGCAAGATGTGTGATCGAGAAGACATTTGATGGATCAGGCAGGAGTGGCTGGTTGGAGGTGTCAGGGTCATGACAGACAGTTAAGATCTAGCCCTCTGAGCAGGTAACGCTCATCACCTAAACAGCAAAAGTTAGGATCAGGCAGGAGTGGCTGGTTGGAGGTGTCAGGGTCATGACAGACAGTTGAGATCTAGCCCTCTGAGCAGGTAACGCTCATCACCTAAACAGCAAAAGTT